TTTTTTTTTTTTTTAATTTTTAAAATTTTTAAATTTTTAAATTTATTAATTTATTAATTTATTAATTTTATTATTATTTTATTATTATTTATTTATTTATTTATTTATTTATTTATTTATTATTATATATATATATTTTTAAAATTAAAATTTGGTTTTTACTTAGGCAATCAGAGTAGCCAGGGGTCAGCCTGATAGCCTAGTATTTTTAATTATTTTTATTACTATATTTTTCCTTACTTAATTTATCACTGTATTTGATTTCTATTGTCTTTATTTTTTGGTACAAAGTTTTTATTTTTAATTTTATTAGTAATTATGTTAAAAAAGTTGTGAGCGGAATAAAATAGTATCGTAGGCTTAGCACATATATTTTTGTCTGTATTTATCAATTTTGTGTCGATATATATGTACGGCGATTATGATTATGGATACCTGTGTGTGTACGTATCTCGTGACATATGTTCCTGGTGTATGTATTTATTTATTTGCTTATACATGGATCTTATCTGCGCTTGTGTTTTAGGGTTGTTTGCAGGAGTAATTTAGTTTGTGCTTGTTGGGGGTCGCGGTAGGGGGTATAGTCGGGGTTTTCCTGTTACGTGGGTTGCTTGTTTTTTTGGGGGGGTTAGTGCGGGTCTTGGCATATGTCGATATTTCACAATGTTTTGGTTTTTTAGGGGGTTGGCTCGTGCGTACGGCGTGTTTAGCTAGTGGGAGTTTTAATATAAATGAATGGAGTGTGCTAGGAGACGCTACTGTTCTCGCATGTTTTCGTGCGGCCTGCTGATTGCGTGGTGAGATGTAGTGTGATTTTTTTGGCATTTATCTGAGGGGAAGATGTCAACCCGTCAATCAAGCGTGGCAGTCAGCCCAGGTGATGTGCCATCTATGTGAGTAAGGGGAGCGGTGGGGAAGAAAGCTCAGTGCAAATTGTGGTGGTGGGCTTCCTCGTTCTATGATCGGAAAGGGGAGCGGGAGGCGAGCTGGGTCATTATTAGGCGAAAGAAAGCAGGAGGGGGGTTGGTGTTTGCATAAGATTTAGGTGCGGTGTATCTTCATTCAACTATGGATGTTATTACGACATGCGTGGGCGAAATCCAAGGAAAGGCTGTTGAGATTCTGGAGTTACATCATCGCCAGGGTGATGGTTGTGGTAAGGACTTCAGGTACAACAGACGGGTTAATAGTGCGACGGTTCGACACTACCGTGTTACAGCGGATGGGAGGTTGGTTCTGAAGTTGTGTGTAGGCTTAGGTTATTGGGATGGTTTGCTTCGCGAAGTGACTGTATTTGTGATAAAGGCATCAGAGGATATCCCGAATGAGGTTCCTGATGGGGGGGTGGATGAGGTGGCGGAAATGGTTGAGCTACTAACGAGTGATCTTCTACAGGAGCATGGAGGGAAGCAGATTGATTTTGTCGAATGGGAGGCGGTGTTGGAGGCACCATTGGTCGGGTGTCGATATATGGCTGGTGTTTTGAGCATAGGGGAGGGTTATGACTGGTGAATGGGGCGAGATGCTCGAGAGACAGGGCTGTTCTTCAAGGGATGTGTCTATGTTTTGGGTGGTATAGCGTGGTGCGAGTGATAAAGGGCAACATAGGATATTCAGAATGGAGTGCCTGATGGTGGGGTGGGGGTGGTTGAGCTACTAATCAAGTGATCTACTGCTGGAGTAGATGGGTTTTGTCGAAATGGGAGTCGACGTTGGAGGCACCATTGGTCGGGTATAGCTATATGGCCGACTTTTTAGGCATAGGGGAAGGTTATGACTGGTGATCGGGATGATATGACTAGTGCTCGGGAGACAGGGACGAAAATATCACTAGTACGCATAACGGAGTTTGAACATTCGTTATTGGTGGAAGCATGCACGCATTTATTCTATTGTTGAAAAGTGCATACGATGTTTCGTGCTGCCTAATAGTGATTCGGAAAAGAGCAGATAACTAAGTATGATAAAGAGGCGAATCTTACGCTGTGAGTCGGCCACTAAAGGACCAGTTACGATATTAGGGTTCGATCTTTCGATGAAGACTGCTTTTATTGCATAAGCAGTCAGTTGTAATGGGCTACGATTCGGATCGCCAACCTTATTGAGCACAACTCATCCCAATACCCCAAGGTTGATTGAAAATATGGAATCGATGCACACGTGAAGCCTGTGTACGCAGGGTGAGATCCTCAAAGATATACCTATACCTCTACGGGCATTGACTCTCATGAGAAAAAATCCATACTGATATACTGGAAAATTGATATCCATATTGTGTTAGTTTTTTTTTTTTTTTTTTTATGTGACATTAAGTTGCTTACACGAGGATACGTTCAGCTTATCTACTTTTGATAAATCAGAAAATGTCATACGTAGAGTTGAACACAAACTACCTATAATGAAACTTTGTGTTAAAACTAGATAGTAGTAAATAAATTTTGATCGACGGATGATACGAGAGGAAACCGCGCATAATGACTGAAATTGCTAAAAAAACTATTCAGTAAATATCCTAAGTATGGACAGTATCTATTGTGTTTTATCAACACCCGTGTGCACCAAAAGTGTGTCGATTGTGTATGTGTTTTAAGTGGGTCGTGGGTACATTAGAATGATTTCAGGTAGTTTTGCTCGATCAGGTCCATGGACCTGACCTGATCATTTTAGCGCAAAAAGCAAGCTTAACTAATCAACATATTATGTGATCTTCTTGTAGACAGACAAAGTAGGTTTTTAAGTTTTATTACTGAGTCCGGTTTGTGAGAGGGAAATTAATCCTTAAACACAATGACCTTTGATCCAGGATACATTTGTTCTTGAATACGACTCGTCTGACACTCTTTAGCTTGATTGCAACCCTTTCAGTTTCTTCAGGATCTGAGAAGACTTTGAATACGACTCGTCTAACAATGGCGGGCCTTGTTAGATGCAGCCAGTGATGCTGAGAAACCTCATCTGCAAGCACTCTTAGATGGTGCAATAAAATGGGAACAGGAGATAGAGAAGGAGAGGAAGGAGACCTTGCTAAAAAGACAAGTGGCCCTCCTAGAGACTGTCCCCTCACTGACTGAAGAGCAGTGTGGGGAACAGTTGCAGTCCATACTTACAGCCTTTGTTCATATCAGGAATCTTGAGGACCATACCACTCAGATCGCTGAAGTCTTTGCAAAGTTGCAGACACTTCAGGATGATCTGACTGAGATGACCCTCAAGTACCATGAATTGACAAAGGAGGTGGCTGACCTGCGACAAGCCCAAGTGGCCAACCCTCTTCCTCTACCTCCCGGATCTGAAGCTGCAATCGAAATTACCTCTGCCCTTCTTACTGTATCTTCTTCTACCTCTTCTTCGAGTGTGCTGACAACCCCCTCGGGACCTGCAGCAGGTGCAAATTCCGTTGTTGCTGTAACAAGCAATGAGGCTAGAACTTCTGCAACTGCTGCAGCCCCAAGACCGGAACCAGCTGCAGCTGGTCCCAGCTACGCCAGTCCCTATGTGGACCGAAAGGCGGTACAACTGTCGTCTAAGTACGACAGCAAGGAAGACATCGAGTCCTGGATCGGCTCCATGAGGGCCTACTTTGAGATTCTGGGAACTCAACCTGAGAACCAGGCGGTGATAATGGGAATGAATGTCGAGCCAGTCGTACGGGGCTTCCTAGAAGTCCAAGCGACACGGGATGGGTTCCCAAAGGCTGCACTAGCCAAATGGCTAAGGATCATCCTGGTTGCCTCCCTCGAAGATCTCCTTATCTCACAATACCAAGATCCACATGTTGGTGCTAAAGCAAGGATTCAACTTGACAAAGTAAAGCACAGCAAGTGGAATGACTCCATGAAAAGCCCGCAGAACTATCTAAGCAAGATGTTTGCCACTCCTGGTTTGGAATTGTCCGCTCAATCTTGTTTGGATGTGGTTAAGGGCGCGGTTCCAACTAACTTCACTAGTCGCCTGGGCAGGGACTACATTGCATACACTGACTGACTCACCTTAATGAAGGACGTAGTCAGTCTGGAGGCTATGGACCTCGTTAGTACGGCAAGCAGCAAAAAGCCCATAGGCGGCAAACGGTTCAAGGGCAGCAACCGTTTTGTTGTGCATGACCTGCTCGAGGCCGAAGAAGAAGCCGATGCGGATGACCCCACTCTTGGTGACGACCAAGAACAGGACTCCGATACAGCTTGTTCTTCAACCCATGAGTCCGACGCAAATAAAGAAGAAGAAAAATTTTATGGCTTTGAAAAGACTGCCAGCACTAAGGGACCGAATCGGAGTGCCGGGAAAAGCTATGTCCAACTTCCCAAAGGAGTTAAGATCCCGCCTAAAACGGAGGATGCAACTACCAAACCTTGGGTTGACCTCCGGATCACTCAGAATGACTGGCGGGGCAGACTCAAGAGGGGGGTTTGCCTGCATTGCCAAAAGCCAAATCACAAGGTTCAGGACTGTTATAGGCTGTAGGGAAACCAGAATCGGGTGTAGAGTCAGATTCATCGAACTCTACAACAGGGGAGTCGGGTTCTGATGAAAATCACTAGCCCTCCCTTGAAGCACAACCATCTGCTGAAGACAAGGCTAAGGTAAGTAATGTATTGTATGTCGAGCCTTGGGAGGAGTCCGAGATGGTTGACTTCCACTACCACTTGGAGCATTGGGCTGAGATGAAACAGCAACGTGCCCAAGGGACAGTGAAGTTGATCTTCTTTAAACTTCTCATCAACCACCGCTATCTCCGTGTGTTGGTTGACTGTGGTGCTACAACTAATTTCATGCCACCACATGGGATACGCAGGGTCGGCTTGGGGATGAAGCAAGTGGCCCTGCAGAACCCTTGTCGGATCCAAGTTGGCAACAAGGAAGTTGTCTCTTCTACACATGCAGTCAAAGATGTGCGCACTACCTTTGACAAAGGTAAGACTGTCACCCATGCACTGAACTTCTTTGTCCTTGACAAGTGCCCCTTCGACGCTGTCCTTGGCTTGGGCTGGCTGCAGTCCCAATGCGAATGGACCAAGTGGAAGGATTCGCTCTTCATGGTCAAAGATGCTTAGGGGAACGAACTTCCTGTCCTCTTGGATGAGAAGCACGATTCCCCAGTGACTTTTCTAAATGCATTGAATTTTGCAAGAAGTGGCGCAAGCACAAAGAGAAAGAACAGTTGTATGTTGCCTTTGTTCGTCCTCCTCATGTGCCTTCTACTTTTGCGGATAGTACCACTACTTCTTTGATTAATGATCCTGCTTCTAGTACTTCTACTACTAACATCTCTACCTCTCTACCCTCTAATAGTCCAAATGATCCTACTTCAGATTCGGTTGTCTCTGTACGCGACTTGCGACCGGACCTTGGTGATCCCTTTGCTGATTCCCCACCCCCACCTGTCCCATCAGACATCCAAACCCGCCTCGATCGGTTTCCGGAAGTCTTGGCCGAGCCACGTGGAGTCCCCACGCGACCGGTTCGACACACCATCGAGTTGGTCGAGATCTGCCACAAGTAACCAAAAAAGTTTTTGATGAATGGGTCTAAAAGTTGAACTTCGTACATATGAAGTGTTAATAAAAGGTAAAGCAAATAGTGAAACAAAGACAAGACCTATTGCAGCAACACCTCCTAATTTATTCGGTACTTACAAACACGTGTGGTATTGTCAGGTCCAGGCGCCTGGCTGGTTTACCATATATAGCATATAGCTACAATATTAGAAGATTGTGGTATGTAAAACCACGATTTCGAAAACTTGAAGTCCAAAGATCCAATATTAAATTCCCCCTAGGCGGGAGTTGTCGTGCTGTTCCTCCAAAGGGCTGCGTGTACCGTATGGGACCCGACGAGTTGGAGGAACTCCGGCGACAGATCGATGAGATGATTGACAAAGGGTGGATCAAACCAAGTGAATCTGAATTTGGTGCTCCTGTGTTGTTTGTGCCAAAGAAAGGAGGCAAACTCCGCATGTGTATTGACTATCGCGGTCTAAACCGCATCACGAGAAAGAATGCTTATCCATTGCCTCGTATAGACGACTTGCTTGATGTCGCAGGCGGGTGCAAGGTCTTCTCCAAGATCGATCTCAAGTCTGGCTACCACCAGATTGAAGTCGATCCTGCGGACCAGCACAAGACTGCGTTCAAAACACGCGACGGGCTTTATGAGTTCACCGTAATGCCCTTCGGTCTCACGAACGCACTAGCGACTTTCCAAAGCCTCATGGACAAGGTCCTCCGCGAACAGATTGGCCGGTTTGTGGTAGTGTACCTAGACGATATTCTGATCTTCAGCAAGTCCATGGAGGAACACCTCAAGCATCTTGAGGAGGTGCTCGCTATCCTCAAGAAGACGCAGCTCCATCTCAACTTGGAGAAATCTGAGTTTGGGAAGGATAGCGTCATCTATCTTGGGCACCCGTTGTCTGCTGCAGGCCTAGAGCCCGAGGCAACTAAGATTGAGGTCCTACGTGATTGGCCTCAGCCTGCGAACATTCGCGAATTGCGTTCTTTCCTTGGTCTCGCGTCGTACTATCTCTAGTTTGTACCCCGTTTTTCTATCATTGCTCGTCCGTTGTCGCGACTAACCAGTAAAAATGTGTCTTATTCCTGGGATGCCGCGTGTACGGAAGCTTTTCGAACTCTCAAGGAAGCCTTGGTAAGTTACCCGGTACTCTGCATTGCAGATCCCAAACTGACCTTCGTAGTTACTACGGATGCAAGTCAATATGGAATCGGTGCAGTGCTGCAACAAGATGACGGCGATGGCCTGCGGCCACTCGAGTACTACAACAAACGAATGCCCAACGTAAAGGTAGCCACTTCCACCTACATGTGCGAGCTCTACGCTTTGCGTATGGCGTTGGATCATTGGAAACATTACCTTTTGGGACGCCACTTCAAAGTCTTCTCAGATCATGAGACCTTGAAGCAGCGGACTACTCTGTCCCCTACCTTGCTTCGCTGGTTCCATGGGATTGACATTTTTTATTTTGAATTAAGACACAAAAAGGGTTGTTACAATCGAGTCGCTGACACATTGTCTCGCCACCCTGAGTACATGACTTGCCTTGTCAAATCCTACGACCTCCGGAAGAAACTGAAGGAGGAGCTCGTAGAGCAGACAACCAAGGGTCCGGAACTTAGCTCCATCCTTGAGCAGCTGCAGGCTGATCCTAGTAGTCAGCCTGATTTCCACGAGTATGGAGGACTGATTTTTCGTCGTTACGGGAACCATGACCGTTTGTGTGTGCCCAATCATGAGCCCCTCCGCACACACTTTCTGGACTTGGCTCATGGCCGGAGCGGACACTTCGGCATGGCAAAAACGTACGCTAACCTGCTGAGACAGTTTGATTGGCCTGGCATGAAAGAGACTGCTGAGAAATTTGTAGTTGAATGTCAAGTCTGTCAACGAATCAAACCTTGCAGACAAAAGCCCATGGGGCTACTCACACCCCTACCCATTCCTGATGGTCCCGGGGAGTCTGTCTCCATCGACTTCACTGACATGGGTAAGGTAAGCAAGAACGGGTATTCACAAGTCATGGTGATTGTTGACCGGTTTTCAAAATTTCTCAATCTGATTCCTTTGCTGCCCCACGCCCCAACAGATCTAGTGATTCACAAATTCCAACAGAAATACCTGCTGCAATTCGGAACCCCGAAGACTCTTGTGAGCGATCGGGATCCGCGTTTCATTAGCACTGAATGAAAGGATTTCATGTCCCACCTAGGAATCAAACTGTGCATGACATCTGATCGACACCCCGAAGCCAACGGTTTGGCTGAGGAGATCAACCAGACTGTATTCCAACTTCTCCATGCGTTGATCATTCCGGATCAGGAGACATGGGATGAAGAGTTGTATTCTGTCAAGGGGTTGTATAACAACTCTGTCCATTCTGCCACCGCCATGACACCCAACAGGTTGCACTACGGGTGGCAGATCCGTAATCCGCTCTCCTACTTATTCCCTGAGCAGTCAGCTGGCTTAACACCCGGCAGGCCCGGCTTCAGGGCTAAGTATGATCGCTTGCTCGAAGTTGCTGTTGCAACTATGACCAAGCGACAACATGCCATGATCCACCATGCAAACGCGCCGACCATCGGAGATTCAGGTAGGAAGCTATGTCTGGGTGAAGATGTCTGAATTCTCAGAGGAGGAGGGAGTCTCACGCAAACTCCTCCCACTCTACTACGGGCCTTGGGAAGTTTTGGATGTGATTGGGGAAGATCACTTTGGCCCTTCGTACATTGTAGACGTGCCAGCTCACCTGCGCACATATCCTGTGTTCCATGCATCTAAACTGTACCTCCATCGTGATGCCGAGACATTCGATTACTGCGAAGATATGATCTCTCGCGCAATCAAGGGCGGGCATGAGATAAATAGAATTAAACAGCATGTAGGTAAGAGGAGAAACAGACAGTACCAGGTTCATTTCATGTATCACCCGTTAGACGATCTCTACTGGATCTCCAAACAGGAACTGTTACGCAGCGCACCGCGCGTTGTTAAAGCTTACGAGCGACAGATCGCCGCTAACGCCACACTGAAGATCTCAGCAAGGCTCTCTGCAACAGAGTATTCCAGGAATCTCTTTGCCTTGCTCGCCTATGATGCGTTTGCCGAGGACTCAGAATGAGTTACTCGCTCGAAGGGACCTCGCTCTTGAGGGGGGGGTAGTGTGATAACCCGTCCAAACACGGACTGAAACACACAGCTGATTTCTGAGTTTTGCTCATAAACTGAATGCCCTACTGAGTTCCCCGCCTGCTAAGTCTGTGTGTGTGTGTGCTTGCTGGACCGCATGTCTGTCTGAGTGCTGGTTGGCTTGCGTGTGTGACCGTGCCTGTCTGAGTGCTGGTTGGTATGAGTGTGTGTGTGTGTGGCCCGCCAGGGCACTTGTTCGTTCATTGGGCCCTCAGGGCTGGTACTTACCTGTGGCCGTGGCTTCGAAGGGTTGCAGCGGGGAGAAAGCACTCAAGTAGCGGGTAGGCCGGTACCGCACCCGGCAGGGGGGTAAATATGCAGGTACCGGAGGCCGAGCAGAAGAAGACAAAAGTGGCATTTTTAGAGGCCGGTAGTGCAGGCTAGGTCTAGCGGGTACCAGTCTGAGTCTAGGGCCTGTAGGGGCAATATCAGAGTCTGCAATGATGTTCCCTCCAAAAGAGGAGGAGGTACCGGTTGCTTGGGAAGGCCAGCGGCCTGGAAGTCACCGCCCAAGAGGCAAAGCAGGACGCTATATCCTCCGGCCAGGCGGAAGACCCGGCCTCTTTTTCGGTGTGCAAGTTTGGCAACACACTGGTGGAGCGCTGGAGGGAGCAGCGCTGGGTTGGAGCTGTGCTGCTGGGGAGGAAGAAGAAGGACTAGAGGGAGGAAGTAGGAGGAAGGAAGGAGGAAGGGGGAGGAGCGCCAGGGGTACTTACCTGGCTATGGTGGCAGCCATCTTCATCACCTTGGTGGGCGCTGCAGCAAGGAGTCCCCAGCCGGGGGAGCTACACCAAGAAGCTTCAAGGCAGGGCTGGGCATGGCGGCCTGAGCTGGAGCAGCCATAGCTGCTTTGGGTTGTCCTTTGGACGTCGGAGCAAGGCCTAGTAGTCCGCCATAGCCTCGGCCTATGTGTGTGAAGAGTGGGAGAGGCGGCCATGGCTATGGTGGACCTTGAATGATACCTGCAGTAGAAAAGGGACTCGGACATGATTCTGGACCAGTCAATCAACATTGTATTATTATTGTATGAATAAGAGAAGGGGGAGATAAGCAGGAGGAGATTGTTGGGCGAAGAAGAAGAGCCTTGTCATTGTCTTTGCTGGTGTACATCTTCTTCTTCTTCTACTCCTCTTTCTTTCTGCAATTGGATGGCATTGTACTTTCCAGTGGATGTGTATCTCGAAATTGGCCAGGGTCATAACACACCCATGAACTGTTGAAATACAGACTCAAGTTCGTATCCAGATACAATCAGATGAACAGAATAAAATAATTCTGAATTACCTGGGGCCGGTCAGTCCAATTATGGTATCTCAAGGCCATCGCCATTGAAAAAAAAAGAAAGAAAAAAGAAAAAAGAAGCTGTAAGAGGTATGGGCTTGTAATGGAGTTTGTTGCAGCATTCTGTTACATAGATAACCAGTGTGTTATTTTCCCATACCTGTAGTATATTCCGAATGGTCCCCAGATGAGTAATTCACCTTCAGAACCTTCGGTGATGCCCATGTTATCTCCATAACTACTGTTTGATGCTGCTGTTGTTTCGACAAAGTCTTTAAATTGGAATCCTGCTTCCCATGTAGATGGAGCATATTCTGTGGTGTTTGATGGAATTCCGTCCCATCCTGCACGAGACATGTCGAGACTCCGCGCACGTATGACTGCAACACTGCCGTCACTTAAAGTTACGAGCCCGAATATGTATGGCTGTGCATGCATTGGTAGTAAATCGAGCATGCTGAGAATTCCCTTGCCGTCAAACCAACCTAGAAACATCGAAGCGCAAGGCAGAAGCAAGTGGAATGAGACTTCCATGCATCACACACTTGCAACGAGTTTCCACACAGAGCCCGACAAACACCGAACACACATGAGCTCTGAACTCAAAAAATCGTCCCAGCAACAACACTGAATTTCAGATCTGTCTTTCGACTTCCTTCGGCTATGGCCATTGGCCTCTACACCACACTTGATGCAATACACAGCAGGCTCTAGCTACCTCCCTCCTATATTCTCTCTTACTACATGAACTACGCTCAACCTCACCACTAACAGGTCACTCTGATCATTTTCTGAATGTCCTCCTGTGAAGTTCTCTCTCAAACTATAGCTATGGCACCAGGCACTGTCGACTACTACTACTGCTCAGCTCGCTAGCTCAGTGGACTCTGTAACGCACAAGAACGCAGCAGCGCTTCCACGTCAAAAACCAAGAATGCCTGCACTCTGGCTTGGCCCTGGTGGCCTTTGCAATTTGCTGATTGTGGCTGGGCCCTTCCTTGGGGCTGGTCGGCTCTCTGACAACCGGTACTGGTCAGTCCTTGGGACTGAGATGTGACACTGCCCATCCCTATACGCACTTCTGCTGCGGCCACGTGGTACGGTCTGGACTTGCCCGGATCTGCATTAGGCTACAGACCCTGAGCTCTACTTGTGTTGTGGACACTTGGCACGACCTGAACTGATCCGAAACTAGTGGATACAGACTTGCCATTTCAAGGCTCCAGATCCTACAGCTACATGTGCTACCTACACCTGTCATGGCCCTAAATGACGTAGACCACCGTTACAAACTTCAGCAGACACGAAACTAAAACTTGGATTCTCACTTAAGTTGCTGACACCTGTCAAGATCGGAACATGCTGAAGTCTTCTAAATAAAAACAGACGTATTGTGCATTAGAAAACAAGTTACTGGACTTGGACGGGTTACTGAGGATCATGAATCCTTTTCACTCCCGCAGGTTTAAATTCGAAGTCCTCGCAGAAGTTTCAACCTTTCACCTATCTTCAAACCCGATTCCTCTCAAGGCTTGTTCATAATGAACTATGATCCGGGGTGCAGTCTGCACCAGCTGGTCCCTAGGAAACCACATATCCTCCTCCGGATCTTGGTATTGCCATATAACCTTGAATTGGTAATGTGACATACCTCTTCAACCTGGTCTGAGGGTATCAATCCGATTGATGTCATAACTTCCATCCATATCAGGAGGAATCATGGATGGTTTAGACGGGAACAACGTATCACCATCCACAGGTGGCAGCTTAGATTCATGAAATACTGGGTAAGTTCTCAGATGTGGTGGAACTT